TCCAATTTTGTATTTGGTTTTCAATATCATTTATAATCACTTCTTCTTTATTCTTAATTCTTAATTCTTAGAGTATTACTAGTTTGTCCAACAGCTTTATCAGTAAGATTTCTAATAAAATTTTCCATTATTAGGTTGCGGATGAGTGTTATCTGGACAGTCCTCCTTGACTACCTCTTATATCTGTTTCGACCTCAGCGGCTCTCTTGGCCTTAACGGTCTTTAGACTGGGTGTCTGAGCGTCTCTAACCTCAACTCTCGGACCAACTTTCTTTAATGAATAATTTTCTTAGATTTCTTATAATAAAGTTGTTTGTCAAACTAATGAGTCTCTAACAGGTAAGAACAGTGAACAAGTGTGAACTGGTATGGCTCTGATACCATAAACGCGCCAAGATCAACCAGTTTAAATTACGACCTATAAATCTTTTTTTAAAACTCTATCTTAGGAACATGAACAGAGTATAATTATAATTGATTAATTGTTGTAAGATTCCTATATAATAAAAGAATAAAAATATTATAAAGACAGCAGAGATTAAAGAAATATCTAAGACAATCCACGAAGTATGAGTTGAATTCTTAATTTTAATACTGAATACTAATTTAAATTGCATGAAGAATAAACAAAGTGATCTTATAAAAACTTCTAGAATATTGCAACTCACTGTTTACAAATATAATAACTGGAGAAGAAACTCCATTCAGAAGGACAGTAAGAGGGAAGAGAAGGGATATTGCAATCACACATCTAAAATTATAGAGTATTAGAGGTTACCAACTGTATGTCGCTTATACAGGACTGTTATGAAAGCAAACCTACTGTATGAGAATTTACAGTAGTAAAGAAAGGAGAAAGAGAAAGAGAGATGAGGAAGAGATGACTCAGGGATGTGATGAAGAAGGTCTTCTCGTACGGCGTCCTTGAAACTCGACCTGCCTTCTTTGTTGAGGGAGGTGGTATTTATAGATGCAGGGATGTGCAGATGTGCGACAGGTGGACGGCTGGGATGCGTCCGTGGTTCATCCTTATCTTCAGGTGGGCTGGCTAAAGGTGATAGACAAAGGAGATGGAGTGTCGGTGGCGATGGAGCGTCGGTGATGTGGATGTAAAGATGCTTTATGGATAAGGGTTGTTGTCGTGGCTCAAAAATGTCGGGGACGTGGTCGTTTCTCATTTGTCGAAGAACGATCGACGAAGGCGCTGATGTGACAAATATTTAGTCAAATCAAAACATAATCTTTGACACTATAGTTGGAGTCTTTTCGTGATACATGGCGGTCGCTGAGGTAAGGAGTTACTATGCAAGGAAATATTTACTGTAGTTAGGGTCTTGTCAACTAAAAAGAAATATGCTTTTGGTCATATCAAACAAAAGTAAAGATAAAGCTGAGGTTATATCAGCGTTAGGTCATATCGGTCTTATCTTCCGATGAGTCGGGTCTTCGGTTCAGCCTTCGGGTTTTTGGCTAAAATCTTCGAGGAGAGGATTACCAGACTGAACTGTTTCTTCTGATGTGGTAGGTATTGTTGAAGGATCGACAAAGATTGCAAAGAGTTGTTTTTCTATATCTTCGAGTGTAGCATGGGGATGAGCTTGTTTCATTTTTTGAATATACAAAGAGAATGTATTCAGGGTAACAGTATTATTCGTAGGAGTATTATCACAGAACTCTGAGGAAGGAGGAATCCTCTTGAGTGGAAGAGATTGTGGGTTAGTGCTGATTATATCCCACCATTTAATTTTTATAGTTTTCCCAAGGCGGGGAATGTATTCAAAGTTATTTGAAGTATTTTCATTAATAGCATATTCCCATTTGACAATCCATGGGATCTGGTATATGTCCATAAAATACAAATGGTAGTCGACTTGGTCAGAACAAGTATTATGCTCACATAATTTAGTTTGGAAGGCTTGAAAGGAATTAGATAGGATTTGGGTAGAAGACCCCCAAATAAAAAACCAATGACAGAACCAACTGGGGAACCTTTCAAGTATGGGCATTTTGAATTGAATATACTATGAGTGAGAATTATTTGGATTTGGTAAAAGAAGACTTTATGCCAAGCTTCAAGATATTCTGCATATCGATAATATTTATGTTGATATTCCGTATTTAATAATTTTTTTCTTTGTGTGGGGTTATTACCCTAATCTTCATAGGTCAAGAACTTTTTGATTTGTAATTTGGAGCAAGCATATAAATTGGTATTGCCTTGGAAAAAGTGGACAATTGATACTGAACCTGTTTCCATTAAAACAGACTCATACCATTCTCTAATTTTGATACCATTCTCTAGTTTTGATGCCATTAAGAGGACTTAAATGGTTTTGAAGATACAGGGGAGCTAATTTATTTGGGTTGATATGAACATGTTTGTCATCAATGACAATATCAGCAATGAAAGTATTGTCAATATATACTGACTTGGTAGACGAGGAGGATGATTTATATGGGATTTGGGCTGGAGAAAAAGCAGGACTAGCGGATGTATTATGTTATGGACTTTGGATAAAATATTCGGGTACATTGGTAGATCGTAATGAAGACATGGGTTACATTGGTAAAAAAAGGTTGGCTGAGCACTGAGAGCTCAGATGGATGTAAAGGAACTAAGTCCATAGAGGTTTTCCCTATAGATTTTTGAGATATATTAGTATGCATATTCTTATTCGTATGAAACAGTTGCAATCCGTAAGGGAGTGGCTCTTCAGGTGGAAGAGATGGTAATATACGACCCCCCTGCAAAAATTCACGGGTAAGAAAATCAGGTAAAGAGGTGGAAGCACCGTGAAGATGTTCAATGGAGAAATCAAAAACAGATAAAATGGCTTGCCAACGGGTTAAGATTTGTTTGGAAACAAGATTGTGAACATCCTTTTGCAGGATATCTTTGGCAGTTTGCAATCAGTACGAACAAGAAAATGTTGATTAAGAATATCAATTTGAAATTTGGTAACATAATGAATAATAGCAAGTAATTCTTTTTTGACAGTAGAATAATTCTTTTGCGTGGGATTCCATGCTTTCGAGGTAAAGCGAATGAGTTGTTCTTTGGAATCTATAGATTGTTTTAATATTCCGCCTAATCCTATGTCTGAAGCATCACATTCAATTATTTTAAAGGCAGTTGGATTCGGTAACGTTAAACAAGGCAATTCTTTAGCTTTCAACTTAAGGCGTTGAACAGCAATTGTATGCAGATCTGTCCAAGGTGAAGGATTCTTTTTGAGTCTATCATATAACGGTTTTGCATCAAGAGCAAGATTTTTATAAAAATCACTAATATTATTAAGACATTCTAAAAATCTTTGAAGTTCGGTTTTATCTAAGATTTTATCTGGAAATTTGTCAGCAAATAAAATAGATCGATCTATAGGGATGATAGTGCCTTGATTAATGTTATGGCCTAAAAACCTTATTTTAGTTTGAAATAAATTGATCTTTTTAGAAGAAACAACTAATCCAGCATGTTTCACGATATTGATAAAAGTGTTAAGATATTTAAAATGTTGATCTATCGAATCTAAGAATATTAATACATCATCAATGTAGACTATCATAAATTTATGATAAGGATTAAATACATCATTCATTATTTTTTGGAATTCAGATGGAGCATTTTTAAGACCAAAAGGCATGACATTCCATTCAAATTGGCCGAATGGTACATTGAATGCTACTTTGATCATATTTATTTTAGTAAATAATTTTTTTATTTTTTTATTAAGTGCACCTTGATGAAAAGAACACACACCTAAAATTTAAAGTAATTTAGATTTATAAAAAAAGTAAATAAAATCCAAATACTACCAAACATCCGTGATCATCAAATCGACCCAAATTCAATCTGAACCGTTAGACTCATATGTTCATATGAACCAGTAGGCTAACCCCAGCTTTT